CGTAAATAACGAAATTTTGAAATCTCAAAATTTCGGAAGTATTTAGAATTTGGAAACGCTAGCGCCCCCGGAAACGAATCGAGTTTAGAAACAAATTTTTCCGTTGTTACCCAGCCCTAATGGGCATCGCTGATAGCAAACACCGTTGTGGGAAGGCTGTTTCCTCCTCAGCTATTCCATAGAGAGCGGTCTCTCTCAGCACTCGTCTTTCATCTCATGGCACACAGTCCTTGCAATAAGAGCTGGGGATTGTGCCAAACTCAGTATTTTATGGCTTTTACAAGATGCCCACCATCTTGGCTCCTGAATAGAATGTTGTTCTGCTGCCATCAATATATTTTAAAAGCCAATGTTTGTAGGACATTAGCACCAGAAGATCTCTGACCAAAGACTGATGTCTTTTTGTGACTGAAGGCATTAAGGAATAGCGGAGTTAGACCCTTTCACTTCTGAAAAGTTCTCCTGAAGTTCCCGAGATGACAGCTTTTTTTCATCTTTTCAGATTGGATGTTGATGTGGAATTTCATTAGCAAAACAGACATTTGTCTAAATGTTCACTTGCACATATAATAGAATGCAAGGCTTGAAGTGTACATCTATAAAATGCTGTTGGAACAGTCCTTGCATCACAAATGCAGACATTTACCATGTAGGCTTATTGATGAATCCACAATATACTGAAGGAGAACTACATTCAAAGGTGGCGTTGATATAGCAATCTGCAAAGCTAACCATGGGATGGATGCTCTTTCAAAATCCAGCTTTATTTCCAAGGGGATGGTTGCATTCGCCTTGATGAGCAGAAGCCTATTAATGTACTATGCTGCCATAACCATGCCAGAATAGACAGTGCTGGCAGGAGGGAAAAGGTTACAAGCACTGTGACCACAAAGGAAATAAGGCATTGAAGAACTAGGTTGCTTAGGGCATATCCAGTCAGCCCTTTTAAAGTAGGAGTCCCTTCATTTTAAACTGGGGTGCGCAGATGACATCCCACAGAAAAACGAATTCATTCGCCATAAACCAGGAAAATTCTGGTTTGTCGTGAATTAATTTGTTAATGGGTTTATTTCGTGTCTTCTTGGAAGGCACAGGGCAAACCCACTATTTCCATTGTCTGGACTATTGAGGGGGCTGTCCAGACAGTAGTCCTGTGTTTTTCTACACTAAACTATCCCAGAAAACAGTGAGGGCACCAACCCCCTCCACAAACCCCTGAAACCCCCTTTTAAAAATAAAAGAACTTACCAGGCCTCCATTCGCGTGGTGTCGGAGTTCTCCTGGCACGTAGGAATGATGAAAAGGGGAGCTCTGGTACGATGTGAATGGAGGCCAGGTAAGTTCTTTAATTTTTTTAAAAATGTGTTTTGGGGGTGGGGAGTGGGTTAGGGTGTCTGGATGTTCTCCCAGAAGGATATCCAGCCACAAAAGTGTAGGCTTTTGCGGTTGGTGTGCGGACTACAGTCTGCACTGACCCAGGTTTTTTAAACTTGGGTCCAAGCGGACTTTACCACTGTGTAGAACCACCTTTAGAGCTGGCAGATTTCACCACCTTTTTAAAAACAACATCTGTGCAATCAGGAAAAAGTGGGAACTGTTAATGCAGCACATCAGTAGAACGGCAGCTATTGACTGCAGTTTGGAATTAAGTACTCAAGACAGGGGATGGCATACTTTAGTGACTATTGTGCAGCTTGTATATGCATATGTTCTCTTTTGGATGGGATACACGGGTCTATTTTCTTGTCCTTGCCCTCCTTCCAAAAACCACCCACCTCATAGCAGCTGTCAAATTGAAGGAAGGGCTGCTGCTGCTCCTTCAGAATGAGGAGGGAGGGGAAGGCAATGATGGTTCAACCCAGGACAATCTGGCTGCTCTGAGTGGAAGGAAATGGCTGGCACACTCCATTTGAGAGCATATCTGCATTTCTATTCTCTTTCCCACATTAGTTCACAAAGAAACAGGGGCCCTCTTCTCACTTGCTAGCTGCCAGGTGGTGTGAAGACCAAAAATGTGTGTGCAGAGTTACATACTGGTGTAAGATCTGAGCCAAGATGTCCTTATAGCTCTCAAAGAGACCATTTCAAAAGCTTGACCTTATGCTCCACTTTAATAGTGTATACACATGGCTATCCCTAGATGAGGTCGAGTTTCACATGACAGATGACAAACATTATTAAAGGCTGGGGTGTTTTTTGGTGTAAATTTTCTCCCAACTAAAAGCAAGATCAATCTTATTTAGGTGACCTTGCATTCTTGTATGCAATGAACTGATAATGAAGTTCTCAAACTGCTTCTCTCCGCATTCTTATAATGGAGATACAAAACAGAGTAAAGGACATTAGTTTTGTTAACCTCAATGTTACTAACATTTTAATTGCTAAACACAATCAGACATGTTCCAACTACTTAAAATGTCTACTGTGCAAGAAAGTGGAGAAGATGGAGTCACAGAAGGATAAGAGGTGAAAACTGAAATCTAGAGGCAACTGAAATATGCTTAATGTCCATGTTTAAATGTTCGAAGGCTGCATTTGTATCCTTATGAAATTACTAATAAATGAGAACTTAGACACATTCCAGGCCTCATGGAAGCCAATAAGGAATGTTCATCATCAGTTTTTTTTTATCTAGTAAGAAACGTAAGTAATTTTTTCTCTGGTTCTTAGAAAACTGGATGATATCAAATGGCTAATTTTGAAGAATCATAGAATCATAGAATCAAAGAGTTGGAAGAGACCTCATGGGCCATCCAGTCCAACCCCCTGCCAAGAAGCAGGAATATTGCATTCAAATCACCCCTGACAGATGGCCATCCAGCCTCTGTTTAAAAGCTTCCAAAGAAGGAGGCCTCCACCACACTCCGGGGCAGAGAGTTCCACTGCTGAACGGCTCTCACAGTCAGGAAGTTCTTCCTCATGTTCAGATGGAATCTCCTCTCTTGTAGTTTGAAGCCATTGTTCCGCATCCTAGTCTCCCGGGAAGCAGAAAACAAGCTTGCTCCCTCCTCCCTGTGGCTTCCTCTCACATATTTATACATGGCTATCATATCTCCTCTCAGCCTTCTCTTCTTCAGGCTAAACATGCCCAGCTCCTTAAGCCGCTCCTCATAGGGCTTGTTCTCCAGACCTTTTATCATTTTAGTCGCCCTCCTCTGGACACATTCCAGCTTGTCAATATCTCTCTTGAATTGTGGTGCCCAGAACTGGACACAATATTCCAGATGTGGTCTAACCAAAACAGAATAGAGGGGTAGCATTACTTCCCTAGATCTAGACACTATGCTCCTATTGATGCAGGCCAAAATCCCATAGATGTTAATGCCAATGTTTAGTAATAGGTAAAGTGGATTTAATCAAAAGTAAGAGACTATTCTGATGGGCTGGGTAAAATGAATAATTTGTTTAGAAAATGCAAATCTCTCAAAAGATATTTGATGTGGTAATTTGACCATCAGAAAAAATGGCCATTTGTAAACACTGACAGTGAAATTAAACCTAGCATTTCCAGATCATCACAACTGTCAGAGGAATGGTAACACCAAGCTTCACTGTGTTAACAGAAGTCACAATTAGAAGTGACACAGTGTAGATTCACACCAAGTTGAATCTACCCAATTCTGCATTTACAGCTGGATGTTTCCACCCACATACTTCCAAAGTGCCTTGTATTTTAGCATGAGGGCCTACCATTTTTGGTGAGAATATTGCATCTTTTAGTGCATGCGAGTGTCAAGGACCTGACAAGATGCTAATGGATTTAGCCATAAGCTCACATTGCTCCACTATAAGCAATCTGAATAGGAATTCTTTATAACTAAATATTTAAAAGTAAAATTCATCAGATATATCACATAATTATGCTGGTACTCTTTGGAAGCATGTATGTGTACCAGATAGAGTCTTCCCAAGAGAAGGCCAAAAGATCACTCTGTAGCCCTTTGCTTTTTCATAATCATAAGAATTGTTCATAGTCAACAGTTCAAGGCATAGTACAGTCTATTCTCCAGCACAGATTGAGTTGGCAGACTGTGCGGCTAATAGACTCATCCCATGGTGGTAAAACACCATGGGATGAGTCTATGTCTACCATTGTACATAATCATGCAGTTTGCCCTCATTACTTTGTCAGAAGATATACATGGTTTTGGAGAATAAATGGAACAACCATATACACCTCCTGTCACATCAGCAGGCCTGTAGCGAGGGGGGTGTGTGTGTTAGGGGTTCAACCCCCCCCCCGAAATGTTTCAATTTTTTTAAAAAAAACTGGTTTACTCATGAATTTTAACTGGTTAACCAAATCCCCATGCTAAGTCTATGAGATGCAAAAAATTAAGAGTCCCTCCAGAACTGCAAGCACTATCTCAAGCAAATATTGACAATTTATTCACACTGTCATTACTTGCAGCAATAGCCGATGTAGTGAAGCAACCAAGTTGGGTGTGTGTGTGTTGAATGCTCTCATTAAGGAGGCCAGACTTGGTGGAGGTGGTTGACAGGGGTGGAGCTGCAGGCTATGGAAGGATGCTCTGCCCCCTGCTGTGCTCTTTGCTTCAGCGTGAGCTAGGAGGCAGGTTTCAAACCCCCCCCCCCCAAATTTTCAACTGTCCCCGAAATTTTTTTCTGGCTATGGCCCTGCACATCAGCACTTTAATTCTTGTACCCATTACTCCGGCCCGGCCCAGTTTTATTGTGTTTTAGTGTATTGTTTATTGCCTGTTGTTCATTTTGCTTTATTCTGTTTTTAATTGTTTGATTTGCTTAGATTGTATTGTTATGTTGTGTGTTGAGGCCTCGGCCTGTGTAAGCCGCATCGAGTCCTTCGGGAGATGCTAGCGGGGTACAAATAAAGTTTAATAATAATAATAATAATAATAATAATAATAATAATAATGTTGCTAAATATATGTTATTCTGAACTACGCTATGCTACTCTGTGAACAAAAATTGTGTGTGTGTGAAAAAGATACTTTAGAAGAAAAAGGTTTGCACAAATATGGGTCTAAGCTTTTTTTGCACTTAAATCTGGGGTAGTTTCCCTTGGTCCACATGTTACACAACATGTAGGTAATACTTACTCCTTCGAACTACAGCTACTGAATATGTAAATAGTAGTTAAAATATGTCATCCCAATTTCCTTTTAGCTGCACCTTAAAAAGGCAAACACCCACTCCTATCTACATTACAGTATTGGTGGAAATACACAATGAAAGTCACACAGTGGCATCCACATCTCAGTGTGTCTTTTCAATGCGTAGCTCAGTAAGCCCTGCAATTCCTAATCCACCTAGAAATATAGAATCACTTATCTAGGGGCTGGGCAATAGTCATCTTTTAAAAAATTAATAATGCATTTACCTTACTTTATCTGAACCACAATATCCATTAAACATTGTTCCTCCCTTCCACACTCCGATTGTATAAACAGTCATCTATTTGGTGGTGATAGGTCAATATACTATTGCTTTTCTCAATTCCACGCATCAAGCCTTTATACTTTCTGCTGTTGCCCTCCAGGAGAAGAGAATGAATGGAACCGGATTCCTACGTAAAAGACCTGGTACCTGTCTTTCCACATCACGAAACATGCTGCAAAGCCCACAATGGCAGCCAGGAGGTTAAGCCCTATCTGGATCAGCAAATAAAGACTGAAAGTACTTGTGATATCGGCACAGTCCAAAACATTCTGGAAAAGAAAGGTCCTGCTGAGGGGATCCACGGTATCCAGTTTGCACTGACAGATCTCAGGGACGGATTCGCAGGTGAATTGTGTGATCTGCAAATAACGGTAGGCAGCAAATGCCACCGCCAAAACACAAACGATCAGACTCAAAGCACTCAGCAGGAAGTATGCAACCTGGGAAGAAAAGTCAAGAACATATTTTTAGTACAACAGAAAACAGAGTCTGTATTGCAGCGTAATCATACACAAAATTGAGAGAAGGTTCCTATGTGATTTCCCAACTGTTAGGACAAACACTAGTGAATGCCACCTGTCATATTTAGATGGGTGCCAAGATTTACCAGCATAATGTCTTAGACATTGAACACATGTCATCTCAGTCACAGACGCATGATGCTGCAAAAGAGTTTTAAAAAATCACTTTTTGGTCGAAGTTTCGAATCTTCAATGTAGGGTATTAAAATGAGTCACTGTAGTGTAGAGTCTGTTGACTGCAATCTAGGTGCTGAGATAATGAAGCAACTAGAAAACATCAGATCGCTCTAATTAAATATGAGTATATTTAATTGAATGGAAGTTCATTACACAGTTCCCAATCTTAAAAAAATCCTGGTTTTAGGCCTGTTCTTGGGGGTTATTTGGGACACTGATTTAGAACATTGCATTGGACATAGTTTTCATGTTTTCTATGACGAGTAGATGGCAGCTGGTATATGGTATATGTTCTGTATCTCAAAAAAAACTGGAGCTGATAGGGAAAAACTGGTGCCATTTTTTGAACCGCAGTTCAAATACACCCAGAATCAGGTCAAACATTTGAGGCGCAAAATGTGTGTTGGCCAATGTTATAAATGATTTTAACTCTATAGATTGATTAATGGCTTTTCAGAATAATACAAACACCCAGACACATTTACTAAGGGGCTTGTATGTTTTTAATCTGTACTGGTCTTAATTGTTTGGAAACTACCTTGAATAACAGTACTGGGGAAAATGTGGGATGTAAATTTGATGATGATGATGATGATGATGGATGATGATGATTGTTTAAAGCTGCTAAAAGGAGACCGGAGTACATAGATCAGATTGGGGTGCAGTGTAGGGGAGATGAGGATAGTTGATTATGTATGACTGCTTGTATATTTGTATTTTATTTTAGGAGGACTAAATGTATATTGTATGTTGTATCTGCACTGTCTGTTTTTGATAAGACCAATTGGCTAATCAATAAAAATTGTTGTTGTCAGAAGAAAAACATTTCAGATCTTAATTGTAGTTCATATGTGGCTAACATGGTCATATGAATCCTGCTTGCTATGCAAGCAAATACGCAGGCATGCATCTCTGCTATTACAGTTTTAGATTTTGCCTCCTGTCACCAGAAAATGGTATGAGACTTGTTAGATTTCTCCTGTTTGGTGATCTTTGAAAATCATATAGAACCTGGAAAAAGTCATCTTGAAACAAATTGTCCTTTCCGTTACTGGGTGGCTGCGTGCCAGCAGGTTGAGGGTGAATCCAGCAAAGACGGAGATCCTATGGCTGGGTCAACCGGGCAGTGGGGATATCCAGCTGCCTACCCTGGATGGCGAGGCACTACGCCCGTCATCATTGGTCAAGTGTCTGGGAGTCCTTTTGGACCCTCTGCTGACAATGGAGGCCCAGGTCTCCGCCGTTAGCAGAACTGCCTTTTTTCATCTGCGGCAGGCTAGACGGCTGGCCCCCTACCTGTCCAGGGACGACTTAGCTACGGTGATCCAGGCTACGGTCATCTCAAGACTGGACTACTGTAACGCCCTCTACATTGGCCTTCCTCTGTCAGTGATCCAGAAGCTCACGTTGGTACAAAATGCAGCTGCTCGGCTTCTTGCAGGAATTCCAATGAGATGCCACGTAACCCCAATCTTACTATAGCTGCATTGGTTACCAATTGAGCACCGGATCACTTTCAAAGTGATGGTACTCACCTTTAAGGCCTTGCATGGTCTGGGGCCGATGTACCTGAGGGACTGCCTCTCCCCCTACCAACCCCAGAGATCCCTCCATTCTGAGGATCAAGATCTATTGGAAGTCCCCAGTGTCAAGACTTTGTGTCTAACAGCAACCAGACGCAGAGCCTTTACAGCAGTGGCACCATCACTCTGGAATACTCTGCCACCTGAAGTCCGTGCCTTGCGGGATTTATCAGCTTTCCGCAGGGAATGTAAGACATATCTATTTAGATGGGCCTTTGATCTCTGATATTGCTGTTTTTAAATTGTTTTAAATTGTTTTTAAATTGTGTTCGATTTTAGCCTGTTCTTGAAAGCAGCTCCGAGCCCCAGGGGAGTGGCGGCATATAAGTTCGAATAATAAATAAATAAATAAAGTAGCTCTTTTATCAAATTTTACTAAGATGATGATGATGAGGGACTGACAAAAAATAAGAAATAGTTTCGTAAAAATCTATGTCATTTTGGTTTTGGGTAAAAGAGAGGTCACTTTAAAAAAAAAAACACTTTCTCCTCTTTGTCCTGATTCTACAGTTTAGTCATTTCCCAGCAGGACCGCAAATTTTCTCATTATGAAGTGAGGGGAACATTTCCTTTATATAGATTCACACTCCCTTTTCTTTTTTACTTTCTTATGCTTCCATCAGTCATAGATGAGAACATGTTTTTTTTTTAATACAAAGTTCTCCTTCTTTTGCAGTCACAGCATGAGCCAACTATCAATACAAAAACAGCGGTGTGACCTTGATGTTACAAGTATGCATGCCTTGATAAAATCCATAGACCAGGTAATATTTGTCTTCCACCTACTGTATGACTCCATCTTCCAATTTGTGAGAAGAGATAGGAGGGGGAAATAGTTGAGCTTATTGATGATATTTGAAGCAGGTGCATATTTTCTGCCTTCAAACTAACTTAAAATACCAATATGTTTATTTTTGCAGCGTTTGTTTAAAATCAAACATTAAGTTATGAAAGTAAGAACAAAGAGAGAGAAAATGAAGGTCATTTAGATACAATATGTATTTTTAGTGAGACAGTGTATAGATACTACAGTTGTGCAAATTATTGTTCTTATGTTGTTACAAATGTTTATTGTTTGGTTTTATTGTTTTAATTATTGAAATGCAATTGTATATTAATTGTGTTATATTTTAGATTGTGTCTTGTAATTTGCACCCTGTCCTCTCTATGTTGTACACCGCTGTGAGTCGCCCCTGGGCTGAGAACAGCGGTATATAAGCGCAGTAAATAAATAAATAAATAAATTATATTTATTCTGTTTTTGCTGGGCGTGGTCCCGATGTAAGTCACCCCGAGTCCCTTCGGGGAGATGATGGTGGGGTATATGAATAAAGTTATTATTATTATTATTATTATTATTATTATTATTTTGTATTTACAAACAGATATTAAGAAACCTGGGGGGGGGGCACACAAAAACTTAAGAATCCAAACCCACCCAATACTTTTTTGTTTGAATTCTGTAATGCTTAGAAGTCAGTTTCATTTTCAGTGCAAGTGAGGTGAAGCTGAAAAGGCTGCCATTCCTCTTTAAATTAAGGATAGGCTGCCTCTCGCCACGAGGAGAGGAAAGCAGCAGGGTGGGACAAGCTGAGTGAGCTGGGAAAGAAATTGAGAGAGCACAGAATTCTGGAGAATGTAGTTTGGGAAGGCGTGGAGCCCTATGGTGAAAAATTCAAAAACTACATTTCCTGCCCTAAACTATATTTTCCAGAATTCTGCTAAGCATGAGAAAACCCCAATGAGGATAGGGGAGAGCTATTTTCCCTCCGTAGCAACCGTCAGCTAACCATGCAGTTTACAATTCTGCAAAGAGGACTGACTGATACTTAAATACTAGTAAGTAAATCTGGGTTGGGCTGGGCTGGGAAAAAAATCCCTAAATTGAAGTTGTTTGTTTTAATGTTTTCACAAAAACTTTTTAAAACAGCTATCTCACTGAATCACAGCCAGTTTACCAGCTATAAGGATTTCTGGGAGTTGAAGGCCAAAACATCTGGGAATCCATAGGTTGAAAACCATTGATCTACAGGTTTCATAAATAGAAAACTCTGTACAACCTGAGGCATGATTTGGATTAATTATTTTGGACACCATTCTGTTGTAACTCAGCGTGTGCCTCATGTATCTACTAGTGCTAGTAGGAGGAAACAAGGCTTGGAAGAGGAAGACGTTTAGCAACAGCTGAAGTGCATTAGGGACATTTTCCTTGAGACTACTGATGAGGAGGATTTTCAGGGGTTTACTCGTGAGGAGATGGAAACGGAGGATTACCGTGGTGTAAAGCGAGTAGCACGCAGTTCTGATAGCGATGAGGAATCTATTTCCAAGCATCTTAAAGACATAGCGGATTGCTATGAATCTGACAGTGATGATGACGAGCTGGACTGGACCAGGGTCCAGGAGGTTTTGGATGTGATTAATGCTCCAACCTCCAGCGATGAGTTCCAAGGGTTCACAGACCCATGGGTTTCGGATACTGCTTCTCAGGATGCAGCCCGGAGTGCAGACTGGCAGCAATGGAGGGAACGTGATTCACCTGTGGAAATGGATGCACCTGAAGGCGAATCTAGTGATTCTGATGAGATTTAAGGAGTAGCCTTGGAGCAGTCTTGTTGCAGAGTTCAAACTGTCGTGTACCTGTGTATCCTGCTCTTAACTCTTGCCTTGAGTTTTTGCATCCAGAACCGTGTCTCCGTGATCGTGATGACTACCTTGCCTGGCTTGGAACCATGAGTCTTGTCTCCTGTCCTGACCCTGGAACATCTTGACTACTCTTCGCTTATGCCTGACTCCTACTTGGACTTCGGACCGCTCCTCATGCTGCTTTTTGTATAAAGATTTTTGAACTGACTGTATTTCGTTTCTGACTTCAAGCTATTTTGCCTGCCTTACTCCTGTTTTCCTTTTTGCAGCACAGACTGCCTGGGCTGCTGTTTGTTTAAATTCCTGCCAGCCGCAGACTCTTTTGTTTACAAGCTCTGCTGATAAGAGCCTTTTGACTTATTAATTTGCCATTAAACACCTTCTGTTAACCCTTAAGCTGCTGTTTTGCCTCGTTGCTCTGCCTGGGTCTTGACACCATTCTAAACTACACCTGTGGTAGAGACAACAGGGATGAAAAGGAATAACAAAGTACGAGAAATGAGGAGGAAAATATTGCACAAATGGTATTGTACACCCTGCCAATTAGCATAATATTATAAAAAGGGGAGTAGTCAGTGCTGGCATGGATGCCATCAGAAAGGGCGGTTTATGCACATGATGTGGGAATGCAAATATGTACAATATTTTTGGCAGACTATACAAAATAAGTCAAATCAAATACTAGGAAGCGAGTGGGTCATAAAGGAAATAGCGGTATTAGGAAAAAGAGAGGATATGGGAAATAAAAGGGAAATAAAAGAAGCAATAATTGAATGTGTACAAGTAGTAATAGTATTAGGGTGGAAAGATAAATCAAAATGGACAGTAAATAAATGGTACCAATATATGGTGGAGCAAATAGAATTCGAAATAATGAATGTGAAATTAAATGATTTAAAAATCAATGAAAATAGAATTGAGAGAAATGGAAGAAAGATGGACAAGGGTAAAGAACTATATCATGAATCAATCCAAAGATCAAGCCATAAGAAATAAGATACAAATGTTACATAGTATATAGGATGGAAATGTATAAAGATAAAGATATAAAGACTGTCTCAAAAGGAAATGAATATGTAAAAGAAAACAATCCTCGTGTTGGTGGTGGGAATTGTAAATGTTTTGTGTGTGTACGGTATATATTTTTTATAAATAAAAATAAAAAACCCATTCTAAACTACACTGCCATATAATCCAGATTATCACATCAGATAATCTACATTATCGCTTTGAACTGGATGATATGGTGCACACAGCCATATAATCCAGTTCAAAGAAGATAATTTGGATTTTATATGCAGTATAGAAGGGTAACCCTGGGCAAGTCTCACACTCTCAGCCTTTAAGGAAGGCAAAAATAAACCTCCTCTGGATAAATCTTGTCAAGAAAACCCCAAGATAGGGTTGCCTAAGAGTGCATCTACCTGTAGAGTTAATGCAGTTTGACATCCCTTTGACGGCCATTGTTCAGTGCTATGGAATCCTGGGATTTGTCATATGGTGAAGCACCAGCACTCTTTGGCAGAGACTGCTAAAGGCAGTGTAAAACTATAACTTTCACGATTCCACAACATTGAGCCATAGCACTTCAAACTGCATTAATTTTAAAGTATAGACACACTTTGGACATGTGTAACCACAGCAACAAGATATGTTCAGATGAGGTAGCTGATAAGTCTTTTAAAATAGCGTTTTAAACTCATGTATAAATATATGAGAGGAAGACATTAGGATATAATGATATAGTGCAATATGGTAATGTATAATACTGATATTGTGCTATGCTAATAATATAATATATTGTATGAAAATATATCTTGTAAGCCCCTCTGAGTCCCCTTCGGGGTGAGAAGGGCAGCATATAAATGCCGTGAATAAATAAATAAATAAATAAATGGCTATTTCTCATGAAAGCCACTTGGAACCTCCTTGGGCCATTCCACACCACACAGTTATAGCACTATGATGCCATAGCAACATCTCATTGATTTCTTGGACTGGAAGCTTAGAGAGGGCATTTTACATTCTCAGCCAGAGAGCTCCTCTACTGCCTCCCAAAGCTACAAATCCCAGGATTCTGTCATGGTAACTAAAATAGATCTGTATAGGAAGGATAATAATATCGAGGATAGCTTTGACGGTGTGGTGAATGAATTAGAACCAGACATCCTGAGGAGTGAGGTTGAATGGGCCTTAAGAAGCATTGCTAACAACAAGGCAGCAGGAGATGACGGGATCCCAGCTGAACTGTTTAAAATCTTAAAAGATGATGCTGTCAAGGTGATGCATGCCACATGCCAGCAAATATGGAAAACACAAGAATGGCCATCAGACTGGAAAAAATCAACTTATATCCCCATACCAAAAAAGGGAAATGCGAAAGACTGCTCAAACTTCCGTACAGTGGCCCTTATTTCTCATGCCAGTGAGGTAATGCTCAAGATCCTGCAAGGAAGACTCCAGCACCACATGGAGCCAGATGTTCAAGCTGGGTTTAGAAAAGGCAGAGGAACCAGACACCAGATTGCCAATATCCGCTGGATAATGGAGAAAGGCAAGGAGTTTCAGAAAAACATCTACTTCTGCTTCATTGACTATTCTAAAGCCTTTGACTGTGTGGATCATAATAAATTGTGGCAAGTTCTTGGTGGGATGGGCATCAAGCCACCTTGTCTCTCTCCTGAGGAATCTGTACAAGGACCAAGTAGCAACAGTAAGAACTGACCACGGAACAACAGACTGGTTCAAGATTGGGAAAGGCGTACGGCAAGGCTGCATACTCTCACCCAACCTTTTTAACTTGTATGCAGAACACATCATGCGATGTGCGGGGCTTGATGAATGCAAGCTGGGGTGAAAATTGCTGGAAGAAACATTAACAACCTCAGATATGCAGATGACACCACTCTGATGGCCGAAAGCGAGGAGGAGCTGAGGAGCCTTCTAATCAAGGTCAAAGAAGAAAGCGCAAAAGCTGGGTTGCAGCTAAACATCAAAAAAACCAAGATTATGGCAACAAGAATGATTGACAACTGGGAAATAGAGGGAGAAAATGTGGAGGCCGTGACAGACTTTGTATTTCTAGGCGCAAAGATTACTGCAGATGCAGACTGTGGCCAGGAAATCAGAAGACGCTTACTTCTTGGGAGGAGAGCAATGTCCAGTCTCGATAAAATAGTAAAGGGTAGAGACATCAGACTGGCAACAAAGATCCGCCTAGTCAAAGCCATGGTATTCCCTGTAGTAACCTACGGATGTGAGAGCTGGACCTTAGGGAAGGCTGAGCGAAGGAAGATAGATGCTTTTGAGCTGTGGTGCTGGAGGAAAGTGCTGAGAGTGCCTTGGACTGCGAGAAGATCCAACCAGTCCATCCTCCAGGAAATAAAGCCCGACTGCTCATTGGAGGGAAGGATACTAGAGACAAAGTTGAAGTACTTTGGCCACATCATGAGGAGACAGGAAAGCCTAGAGAAGACAATTATGCTGGGGAAAGTGGAAGGAAAAAGGAAGAGGGGCCGACCAAGGGCAAGATGGATGGATGGCATCCTTGAAGTGATTGGACTGACCTTGAAGGAGCTGGGGGTGGTGACGGCCGACAGGGAGCTCTGGCGTGGGCTGGTCCATGAGGTCACGAAGAGTCGGAGACGACTGAACGAATGAACAACAACAAACAACTGAAGAAGATCTTCACATTCTGTACGGACATGTTCCATTTGCCTCTGGCTGGTCACTATGGGAATCAGGGTGCCAAACTAGATAGGCCTGTGGTCTGATCCAGCAGGACTCATCATCAGTTCTTACACATCTTGGTAGTTATATAAGAATCATGTTTCTCTAGTACAGTGGTTCTCAAGCTGGGGGTCCCCAGGTGTTTTGGCCTACAACTTCCAGAAATCCCAGCCAGTTTACCAGCTGTTAAGATTTCTGGGAGTTGAAGGCCAAAACATCTGGGGACCCACAGGTTGAGAACCACTGCTCTAATATGTAGAAATTAGGTCATCAACCATTTATAAAGACAAATTTCCAGCCTTTTAGGCAAGTCTCTGGGTGACAGAGAATTGTGAGTTTTGAAAAAAAAGAAACAAACCTATTACCATGTTAATGTTTACTGCATGGTTTGAGGAGCTGGAGAAGCAGAATATTTTCCACATGTCAAAGTGAAGAGGAAAGGGGGTCAAAGCAGTTTAGGAATGAGCACGGGATAACCCTGAGTTCCTGTCAGCAGATGAGTCACACGACAGACCTAGACAGTCCCAAATCTGTCAGAGTGAGATCTAGCAAAGGATTTTGTACTCCCCCCACCCCCCAGGCTGCTTGAGAAAAACACAGTCTGGCAATGGCTATAGCAGAAACTGGGGAAAGAAGGGGAATGAAACGCATTGGACTGTGAACTATAACTTACAAATGTTCTTTCTACATGAAAATAAACAAAAACCAAGATCCTAACTTAAATTCTAACCATGTATGTGTTTTAAGGAGAAGATTGCATATATTTGTATTGATGAGTGCACAAACAATCAAGTTTGGTAGAAAATAACCAGCAGTCGCAGGACTTTTTCCCATGGAGGGGGAGGGAGAGTATCATTTGATCGTGGCGTTTAGGGTTTTGCTATTCATTATCACATGTTGTCTGAATTTGTTGGCTTCTCCATTACTGTTTTCACCATTATAACACATGCGAGTAGATTCTTCCCCACTCCCATTTTTTTAAAAAAAATTGGATCTTATTTTGACATTGTAAGGGATCAAACTCTCTCAGTATTATTAAAGGCAAAGAAATATAGTGATCTACTTAAGATCGTTCTTAGTTTTAATTTTTAAAAAAAAACTGGAAAGGATTGATCGGATGCATTATGGCTGAGTACCATGGACTCACTGCTGGTTAGGAGACAGCCCACAGGATAGCCCATTTGCCCAAGTCATAGATTCAATTCAATGCAGGCAATTCTGACAGCTCTTATCCCATGTGTTTTTGTACTTTTGAAATGGAATATTCTGGTTCCTGAGTCTAGAAGACTATTTCAGACCATCTTCTCCCCATTCCCTTTTTATGACTGTTTCTGCCATTTTTACTACAAATCATGATGGAACTGACAGGAAGTTCCACTGAATAGTGGGGAGAGCTCTGTTATAAACATACCAATTGACGGGTGGGGTGGGGTGGGTGGGAGGTGGATAAGGTCTTAAGGCAAAAAGCCAACAGGCTGGTTGGAGCAGACAGAAATGGAGATCCCGGAAAGAAAGAAACAGCTGTACCTTGATGGCAAACTGAATGCAGGTCTTCTCATCCGGTTGGTAAGAAATACAAAGCATCACGAGACCCAGCAAAGCCACTACACAGACCTACAAAAGCAAATGTTAAATTGAAATCACACTTTAGGGATAAAGGTGGGAAGAAGAAGAGAGTTAGTGTAAAGTGTAAAGAGGCCACCAGTTTGTAACGGTTTGTAAAGGAGCCACTACTTTGTAAGGACTTACTAAATTGATAACACAACTTGTAATATTGATTTGGTCTTTCTTCAATGTGTGGTGTAGCTTAACTTGAAAGTATTTGTAACAGAGACTTGGCTTTAGAAGAAACTGTAACAAGTTTATTGAAGTATAGAAGAAGCTTGATGGTTTCAATGTTTCTTAACTCTTAGAGGCATATATCTTCAGTGGTTACATTTAAAACATTTCATAAAACTGCTCTTGAGAGAACTATTCCTTCCATTAAACAGGTTTTAAACTTATTTTCCTTTAAAATGTGTTTCTTTCTTTAACAGATTATTTCAGGTACAAGCTTATTCTTTCCTTATGTTATTTCTGTTGCAGTAAAGGTTCTTATTAGGGTTTCTCTCACCCTTTTTTCTCATACACTAACCACTACTCTAAATAAGTCAACTTGACCTATCTAAACCTCACAGGCCAAAAGCCTAAACCTCCCTGATTCTCAACACAGTAGAATCAGCCTTTCCCTGCAGTTCTTAGACTACAGACTACCTTACTGGTTCTCAACACACTACAGAACCAGCCTTCCCTGTAGTTTGCTGACTACAGACTAACTGTTTTAAAATGGCTGCCCTGCCAAGTGGCAGTTGACTCTGCCCCTTTTTTCCATGGCAACCCAGCTCAAAGTGAGCTAAGCTGGCTACCATCCCCCAATTATGCTAGTTTAAATACTTACCCTTTTAAACACCTATCTATAATTACACATAACTGCAGATTAAAACTCATACTTCACCACAGGCAGTACCAGATAAAAACCTCCCACTTCCATTAAAATATGTTTTGTCACTTTCCTCAGAGAATAGGATGGTTTCTTTTAAAATAACACTTAAGGTACAGTAGACTGAGCAGTAGATAGGTCAATCTAGGTTTTAAGGGTCATTTTTTACTAGAATGTCTAGACTGTAATTACTGTCTTGACTACTGTTGTGTAGTCTGCCCAACAGAATGCCCTCTGTATGGCCCACAGAAAATTAAAGAGAATTGAAATAAATTAGAATTATGTGAAATAATTACTGCACAATTAAATTATGATATTAAAAACAGGGTAAAGTCAACTGATTTCAATGAAGTCTTCTCTTTTATAAATGTGTTTTTGAAAAGTTTGCAAAGAAGTACCAGAAAAATTCATGATTTTTTTCAAAGTATAATCCGGCCCTCCAACAGTTTGAGGGACTGTGATCTGGCCCTCTGTTTGAAATGTTTGAGGACCCCTAGGTAAAAGTGTGCTGCTGGCTGGGTCTAAAAGGCTGGGCGTTTGTCTTTTTAATTTGAAGTACAAATTAAGCTAGGGGAGTGAGATTTGTAGTTTGTGGAAATCAATATATCAGCCCCTAAAATCTGTCTTTGGATAAATAAAACCATCTGTGGTTCACCTGACTTCTCCATATCATTATTTTCATATTGTTTCAAAACATCTGTTCAAAACCGCCTGCCCCTGAAAAGGACCTCTGATTCCTGTTTGTTTGAGTTTCCCTTCCATATTATACCCTATTATTTGGCGAAAAAGCATTCCTTTTTCGCCAAATTCCACAACTTTGGCCATTACCAGTTGCTTGAGATCAATATAAAAAGTTAAAGGTAGTCCCCTGACATTAAGTCCAGTCATGTCTGACTCTGGGGTGTGGTGTTCATCTCCATTTCTAAGCCGAACAGCCAGCATTGTCTGTAGACACCTCCAAGGTCATGTGGCCGGCATGACTGCATGGAGCGCCATTACCTTCCCGCCGGAGCGGTACCTATTGATCTACTCACATTTGCATGTTTTCGAACTGCTAAGTTGGCAGAAGCTAGGGCTGACAGCGGAAGCTCACGCCGCTCCCCGGAATCGAACCTGCGACCTTCCGATCAACAAGCTCAGCAGCTCAGTGCTTTAACCCACTGCGCCACCGGGGGCTCCAAGATCAATATACCAGCTTCTAAAAACAGTGTTTCGATAAATTCCAAGTTCAAATGTCACCATCCTAGCCCACAAGTCTACTTCTGGGGGGAAATGCCTCTGTGGTTCGTTCGACTTATCCATATAATTATTACCTTTTCATATTGTTTTACAACATCTATTCAAAACCTGCTGCCCCTGAAAAGGCCCTCTGATTCCTGAATTGAATTTGTTTGAGTTTCCCTTCCATATTATATCCTATACTGAAGTCAAAGCATTCCTTTTTTACCAAATTCCACAACTTTGGCCATTGAGATCAACATAACAGCTTTTAAAAGCAGTAAATCATTTCCAATTCATCTCATAACTAAATCTCTGGCTGGAGAGTCTCTGGGGCTAGGCCTATGTTACTTCTTGACTAGGGGGTCCAGTTCAAAACTTCAGTGCTTCAAATCATATTATTAATACTTCCAATTCATCTCATAACTACAACTCTAGTTGCAGAAACCCCTTATGGTCAAGGGACACAGTTGTTCATTGCCTTTGGTGTCTTCATTTGAAAACAACAAATTAAGAAAACACTTATGCACTTGGTTTGATTTCATTCAAGGCCTCAACATTTATAATATGAAGCACTCCAGAGGAAGTGGGTTGGGTCATATGCCCTCTGGGTCTGTTTCTTCCCATAGTTCCCGAGGGGGCAAGAAAGGGAGGAGGACAATCTGCAAGCTGCGGGAACGTGCAACTGTGGGAGGTGGAGGTGGTGATGTTGGCACCAGTACAACTGCTGTAATTTGACCAGCCCAATTGCAAGTTCCTGTTTCAGCCATAACACAGACTTAACACAGAAGGGCCATGACACCACCATGGAGGACGGAACCCCCCCCCCCCACGTCTCCCTCAGCTGCCAATGAGCAGGAGGAGGGTCCTTCTGAGGAGGCTGAACTTAGATATGCCCCAGGCACTGCTGTGATGGGAAGGCTGAGGCATTTCTCAGTTGTCTCCAAGGGAGATGAATTCACTCTCTTAAAGAAGGGTGGGAGTTACCTCATGTTCCCCGAGTTCCTGCACCTGTCTGATACCGGTGCATTTAGAGTCTCAAAAAGAGAGCCAGTAACCCTCAGATTTCAGCCTACACTTCTCAGGTTATCTCTTCCCCTGGCATCTCTGGGCACAACTGAGCCAAATACTTCAACACTATATAACATGATTTTTGTTCCAGGGTTGTATTTTTCATTTCCTAATTTGTTCTATCGTAAAAAAATGGGAAGCTTGATTAAATTGCAAAAATTTTGTTTTTGAGGGATATTCTTGCAGCACATTTTGCTATAGTTTTTCCATGAATATCTCAAAGAGTCACAACCAATTCAACATAGTTTGTGGCAGCCACAAAAACAAAATTTCTGCAGTATAACCACTATTTTTGAAGTACATACCACACAATTAAACAGGAAATAACACTTTCAAACCAGGACCAGAAAATATTTCAAATTTTGTTACATAGTGTAATCAAGTGAACGAGCCTCAAAACAAAACAAACATTCTTGCAGTGGATTCAACTTTAATTCAACTTGAAACCTCAATCCTGAACCAGAATTAAACCTTGCCAAAGAAAAGGAAGACCCTACTCAAACAGCAACTGGTATTCAGTAGCATTAAGGGCCTTTTCACACTGACAAAAATAGCACTGTATTGTTGAAGGCTTTCATGGCTGGAATCACTGGGTTGTTGTAGGTTTTTCGGGCTGTATGGCCATGTTCTAGAAGCATGCCTGTGCCGTCACACCCAGATCCTATAAAAATAAAACTAAGATGTGCTTCTCTCTTTGTCTGGGCGGACCGTGGGGGTCTTTCTTTAGAAGCTTGAGATTCCCAGTAACTGAGGCTACTACGGGTTTTGAACACCAAAACAGAATATTTATTTCTCAAAGTTCTTGCAGACTTGGCACAGCTTGTCAAAGTTACAAACAAAACAGTCAATTGGTGAAACCATAAGGATGATCTTTATTTCTTTTTTTTTCAGTTACTGAAGTAACTCTTCCCCAAATGGTAGAAAATATCCTGGGATCCTTTCACCCTAACCCTGAGCTGTTATGGTTAGAAAAACAGGTTTTTCCCTATCTATAGCTCAAGGTTAGCTTTGGAGATGAAGTACTGCTCAATAATATTCAATAACCTTTCTATATCTCAATTGCTATCTATAACTCAAATGCTATCTATAACTCAGTTGCTATTCTATCTATCTCAATTAGCTTCTTTATCTATATTACTCAATCACTCAATCAACTCAATTACAATGATTTTTTCGGAGCTACCTAGCTGACCAACAGCACATCTGAAGCTTTCTTTCTCTACTGAAGGAGGCAGGGGAGATTCCAAAATGGAGATCTCATCCCCTGGAAAAAGGGCGGTCTCTAGACCCAAAGAGATACTTTTCTAAACCAATAACTGCAAAGGGCCTGCAGTCTGGCTTTGCAGACTCTGATACTGTTTAACTTCCAGGGTGCTGCTGGGTCTGTAGCAGCCCTGGGGAAATGCAAAAGAACACTATCCCATGCAACTAAAACGTAATGCAAACTATGCTCCTGGAAGACGGAACAATGCCATACAGCCCGAAAAACCTACAACAACCTAAAAATAGTACTTTAGAAAGGCACTAGAATCATCTGGCTAGAAATTGTTAATACTCCTCTGTAAACCGTAAATCTCAAAGATCCATTGAATTTTTTCATGGCGGTTTAACTAAAATATAGCACTGTAACTGTGAATGGGTCCAAGGTGTTTTGAAAAACACTCAAAAGAGACTGTCAAAGACGCATATTGTTCAAATGTCATTGCCAAGTCTCAGTTTGGACATAAACGTGCCTTGGCTCATACTTCCCCTTGCTCCCTGCTCTGTTCATATGTTCTCATCATCCTCTTGCTTCCTGGCTAGTTCAGAAAATAACTTGAAAGCTAGTGAGCATTGCAAGAAGCAA